TGAACGGAATTTTAATTTGAGTGTAAACGAATGAACACACTGAGAATGCCCAGTGATTTGATTTGCAAAATGCATTTGTCATATATTAGTGGAGAAATTTTTCAATGTGCCGAGAACACGATCAAGTATACCAAGTGTGATACTACAAGTGATGAGGATGTTTGTGGGGACTCAACTGGTTTAAGAATTAGGGTTTACGTTCAGATTAAGGATTAGAAATATCATAATACAAATTACTGAAAATATGAGTAGACCCCTTGGAATTCAATTTTCATTAACTAAAACCCCCATTTGTAAAATTTTCTAATAAAAACCCAATGACTAGGCTCCAACTAAGCAATATCCATAATTAAGTATGACTTGGCAAAATTGGTATTTTTGGATGTCTAAATTACCCCTAATATTATTGATTTTGGGTTTATTACTTGTTATCTACATTTATTTGATATTATTTCATTCAATTAAATGTTTTGAAATGTTTATGCAGATTTGGAAAAGAAAATTTTGAGTGTCATGATTTCAATGCATATTAATAACAAAAATTACATGACATTAGAGTTTTGTTTCCTTATATGGTTGTTTTCACATTTTATGTAAAAATGAGCATTTTTTTTCCTTTCAAATAATTGTAACAAGTAAATTAGCATTTATTCACAAATATACAAATGTTAATTTATTCAAAATTACCAATATTTTACATATATAAAATAACAATATAAGTTCCAGGTAAAATAATACATGCAAAATAATTTACCTATGTAATAAATAAATAAATATTGTTTGATTCAAAAGTTATTTAAGCTATTTGCATACACATATATGTAATAATATCAAAACGTGCCTAACATATGTAATAATACATGCAAAATAATTTACCTATGTAATAAATAAATAAATATTGTTTGATTCAAAAGTTATTTAAGCTATTTGCATACGCATATATAATAATATCAAAACGTCCTAACATATGTAATAATACATGCAAAATAATTTACCTACAAAATAAATGAATGTTGATTGATTGCAAACAACACATAATAATAACAAATGTGCCTAGTATATGTAATAATACATGCAAAATAATTTACCTACAAAATAAAAGGATGTTTTTAGCCAATTGATTCAAATTTAATTAATTACCTATATTCTACTTAAAAATATAGGTAATTTATTTCACACAGATATAATAATAACAAAATGTGTCTAATGTATACATGCAAAATAATTTACCTACAATGATTGTCAAACAAATATAAGAAATGGAACAGATGATGGTGAGACAAGTATAAGGTGGATATTTTTGTAATTTACCTACTGAATAAATGAATGTTGATTGATTGCAAACAACACATAATAATAATAAATGTGCCTAGTATATGTAATAATACATGCAAAATTATTTACCTACAAAATCAAAGGATGTTTTTAGCCAATTGATTCAAAGTTAATTAATTACCTTTATTCTACTTAAAAATATAGGTAATTTATTTCACACAGATATAATAACAACAAAATGTGAATAAAGTATACATGCAAAATAATTTACCTACAATGATTGTCAAACAAAAAAAAGAAATGGAACAGATGATGGTAAGACAAGTATAAAGTAGATACTTTTGTAATAATAAAGCACTTATTTGCTATAATTATGGTGGTAATTAAATTCATCAACATAATTAGAGTGTTGTGGCACAATTGTAAATATTTTAAAAATAATAGGTATTTATTTGTTTACATGGCAATTTATTTCAAATTTGGGTTTTATTTGGATGTTTAAAACGAGATGGGTTTTTGTCAAGGAAATAAGTGTTGTATGGACTTATACCTAAAGAACCCTACAAATTATTGAAATAATTTTTTTTTAAGTATCCCACAACCTGTATTATAACACTTAACCGACACACTGCAAACTCTCTCATATCGACGACTTTCTATAAACTTTTAATAAGAAGTCGTTTAGGCTGTTCACAAATCATGTCACTCCACCACAAAAGTATTTAAAGAAATAGTTAATATTTGAAAAGATAATTGAAAGTGAAATTTGTCACATCATGTTGCTGCGTTGTAACATTGGTAGATCATAGCGTTTAATGCACACTCTTACTTTTAGTCGTGCCGTGAGCATTTTCTTGTGGTATAATTTTATTCTATAAAAAGGAAATTAAAATAGCCATAAAAGAATATTAGTGACGTGTTCCTATCACACCAACCTATCAAATTATTACAAAAATAAAATATTCAACACACTGTATGATCTAATATGCTATATTGTCAAATTATTAATTTAACCAATTATATAAATTTATTAAAATGTTCAACTCAAATTTATAATCTGACATTCGACATAGGGTGTTAAGTTTCTATCAAGTAGAGCTAGATTAAGACTTAAACCAATTACTAATTGACATGATGGAATATTACAAATTATCATCAAAGAAAACCAATTGCTAGTTGGTACGACGGAATATTACAAATTATTGATAATGAAACTATCATACTTTTATATATAGGAAACCAACTGGCGGCTTCGCTACAATAGTCAACCTGTTTCAGGTTTGGAAGACTCACAGAGGCATTTCAGTCTCTCTGGGCACCATCGTGTGATTCACCAGTGTCAAGGAATTGAACATACGATGTGCAATGTGGAAGACGTGCCTAAAATTTATCTCCAACCATTGGGCTACTCTATTGTGGTTTCATACTTTTGTATACAAGTGTCTAATGACTCGTTTGGCAAATGCTTTTAAACGACTGAAAGCACTTTTAAATAAAAAATATTTTTGAAATCAAACCTTAGTAAAAATATAAGTTAATTATGGAAAAAACACTTAAAGTGCTTCCAGTAAGAAACACATAACTAGTGTTCTAATAAGAACATAGGCGGAGCTATTAAGGGACCAAAATAGTCCTGGGCCCATCCTGCCTTTTTTCTTGATACAATAACATATTGTTATTGTTGCTGCTTATTAGTGGAATACCATTAAATTCAAGTGTGCCATTTCTTAATCTAAACTCTCTTTTCCTTTTACATGCCCCGTTTTTCACTCCATCTCTCTTATTTCAGTGCAGACTTCCTTTCCCCTCCTTTTGCTATCAACTTTTCTTTGTCATTTCTTTAGTCCTTTTGTTATATTTTCAAATCTTTCATGCTTAACTCTTACCTTGTATTCAAGTGTTTGAGTTTGTACAATGTTTTTAGTTCTTTGTACTAAATTTGATTGGTTTTCCAAATGTGCAATTTACTACAACTTTTCATATTGTGAGGTCCCTCCTCACATAAAATTCTTGCTCTGCCACTGAGTAAGAAGCACATAACTAGTGCTTTTAGGAGGAAGCAGTTGCTTCAGGTCAAGAAGCACTTCAAGTGTTTTTGAAATCCAAAAATATTTTCTCAAAAACGTTTCCAGCAATTTAAAAATACTTATCAAACAAGCTCCAAATTAATAATATGATATAAATATAACATATATTCAGATTCATTACCGTTTGAGAATTGAACATTTCTCATTTGACTATTCAGCAAAGTTGACATAAATATAGCATATTCCGGACGATTAATGCAAAAATGAGACATATGAGCCGAAGAAAAAGAAGAAAACAAAAGGGATAAAACGGAAAATAGAAACTCCACTTTGGTAGGGGGAGCGCGTGGGGACACGTGGGACACAAGCTGAAAGATGCAGCCAGAGAGATGCCAAGGCGAATTTGCCAGGCTGAACGTAGCCGCCAACGAGAGGAACCGGATCCCTTCCGGATTCAAAACGACTGAGTCCACTAATTAATGTATTTAGGCTATTGAAATTTGATCAAATAATTATAAACAGAGAACGCTCCTAAAGTTATAATAATTGTAACCATTATATCAAATTTTAATGGTCCAGATTCATTGATTAGTGGACTCAGTTCTCATGGAACAAGATAGGATCGGGTTCCCCAACGTGAACAACAACATGAGGAAACAGCTGGCATTTGGGCAGTGGAGCCAACAACGAATATAACTTGTTCCAAATTTCCAAAAAACAAAAATTAAATTACAACGAAATTAAAAAATAAAAATAAAAATAAGGGGAGGTGAATGCCTCACCCTAACCCATGTTGCTGAGCTGTCCATCCCTCCTCCTTGCAGCTTTCTCTGACCTGGCACTTTGACACTTGGTTTCTATCGTGTTCGTTTACAAGGTAATTGCATTGTTATTTGCTAATTCTAATTTTCAAATATAATCCGTTAAATTTGATGTACAGTTGTACACACGACAGAAAAGGAACAAATAAATTGGCTAGAGATAAGTTTAGTGTATTTGTTGAATATTCGTTATAATTTTATCAATTATGTCGTCTATTCGTTAATATTATTTGGATCAATAACATCATGTAACGACGTGACAATCACTTTGAAGTTGTCTGTATTGATGAATCAATCTCAGTTCTCCATATACCATCAATTCTCAACCCAAATCCCAACCCTTCCTTCTTCTTATTTCCCAATTAAACGCAAATTAAATTTCACTAATTTTGATTAAAAAAATAAAGGAAAATAATTATATTCCGAAGTTTACGTTCATGCACATAACTCCGCAGTGAAATAGGCCTACAACAAAATTTTCAATTCTACACGACAACTCACGTATTCTGCTAATTAAACCGAAACCCATTTTTTCAAATTTCAAATGTGTATTAGTAAAAATAGAATTCAATTTTTTTACCTAGCAAAAGAAAAATAGAAGAAACCCAGCAAACTATTTACCAGCTGTTACAGAGAGGAGCGAGTCAACGATTACTGTAAATAGTAATACAGTAAACACCTTTTGTACTCTATCTGTCCGTGTTTGGCATTTCTCACTGTCCTTTTACATTTCGATATTCCTTTTCCAATTTTTTTTTATTTATTTCTTTATGTAATTTCACAAATTAGGATTTATTAAGATTTGATTGCATTGACGTGTCTAATTAATTCGTTAATCCCTTCTTAATTAGCGAAAATATTATATGCTAATTCGCAATTCTCCCACAACCTTCTCCTATCTCTCTCTATAATAACTATCTCTCTCCTCCACAGAGACACACCCAGGCACACACCCCGCCCACCATTTCTACTACTCCTTCTCTCCCTCCGGTTTCTCATAAACCCAGCAAGAAAACAGATAACTAAAACCCCACCACGAAAAGCGGCGAGCAATGCTCCCATTCCGGCTATACGCCGCCGTTTTGTTCGTCTTCAGTATCTCCCTCCTCTTCCCCCCGTTCTGCATCGGGATTCGCTCATTCCCGACGAGGGCGATCGACGGCGGGGATGCCTTTGAACTCGGCTCCGCCCCCTGGGTCCGATTCTCCGAAGCCCCGGACTATCGAAACGGCGCCGGATGCGCCGTTTCGTTGAACCGGGAAATGGTGTCCTCCTGCGACCCGTCCTTGGTCCACATCGCCATGACTCTCGACTCCGAGTACCTCCGGGGGTCAGTGGCTGCAGTGCACTCCGTCATCAAGCACGCTTCTTGCCCGGAAAACGTCTTTTTCCACTTCATCGCCGCCGAGTTCGACCCGGCGAGTCCCCGGGTCCTGACCAAACTCGTCCGATCCACCTTCCCCTCCCTCAATTTCAAGGTTTACATATTCCGGGAGGACACCGTTATTAATCTCATCTCGTCGTCGATTCGGCAGGCGCTCGAGAACCCGCTCAACTACGCGAGAAATTACCTGGGCGATATTTTGGGCCAGTGCGTGGACCGGGTCATTTACTTGGACTCCGATGTGGTTTTGGTCGACGACATTCACAAGCTCTGGAACATTTCGCTCACCGGGTCGCGGGTCATTGGAGGCCCGGAGTATTGCCACGCCAACTTTACCAAGTACTTCACCGACGGGTTCTGGTCCGACCCGGTTCTCTCCCGGGTTTTCTCCTCAAGAAACCCCTGCTATTTCAACACCGGTGTGATGGTGATGGACCTGGTGAGGTGGAGGGAGGGAAATTACCGAAAGAGGATAGAGAACTGGATGGAATTACAGAGGAAGAGAAGGATTTACGAGCTGGGTTCTCTGCCGCCGTTCTTGCTCGTCTTCGCCGGAAACGTGGAGGCCATAGACCACCGGTGGAACCAACACGGCCTCGGCGGCGACAATGTCAGAGGCAGCTGCCGGTCTCTGCACCCTGGTCCGGTCAGTCTCCTCCATTGGAGCGGCAAGGGCAAGCCCTGGGTCAGACTCGAAACCAAGAACCCGTGCCCGCTGGACCACCTCTGGGTGCCGTACGATCTCTACAAGCCGATCCACCACCTCAACCCGGCCAAGTTTCAATCTTTATCGTCGATTTCCGCATCTACATTGATCGGGTTTTCCAGCTATTTGTCGTGAGATGATTGGGTTTATGATAATTCTTTCGTACTTTGTTCATTCAGACATTCTTTCGATAGCTATTTTGTACAGATTGATTGAAATTTTAGTTGAATTTACAATATTTTTTCTTCTTGTTTCTGTAATTTTCTCGGCGGATTTCACACATGCGATGAAACAATTCAATTTTCCATTTTTGGGGTTCCAATTTTTGGAGCCGTTTTGGAGAATGAACGATTTTCCTTGAATGTAATGTCTGTGGGTCCCAAGAGGAGAAGAATTTTGTCATCTCAAAAATCATACGCTTCCTGTTCTTGCTTCTTTCTCTTCACGATTGTAAATTTTCAAAGTGACCAAAGAATACAAAGGACACTCTTGACAGCGAGATTTGAACCGTGATAAGCTGAAATCAAAGGTGTTAGAGCTCAATGGGTTCACGGTCCTCTCTCGGGAGCTTTGATTGGGATGTCACGATGTCGGTACTTCCAAACAACGGTGTCGGTAGTTTCAAGGAACCGTGTTGATATTTTCAAACAACCCATATCAGTGCGTGATAGGCATAAAAACCCCATTGTTGCCGATCCTTAGTGGTGCGCGATTGACTTACGAACCGGACTGGCTTCCCAAATCAAATCCTAACAGTGCGTGATTGACTTAAAAATCCGATGACGGCGGTGTAAGTGGAGATAAGTCTGCTCTACACTTTGCTCACATTTTTCGATTTCCATCCAATTATAATTCATTTTCTTATTTAGTTCGGTATTATAATTTTTCAAATTATTAGGTTATTTAATTGGGTGGCTAAGAGTAGGAGGAGGGGCTTAAACTCTAGTGCAAAAACCCATCGGTTTTCTGGTGGAAGATGTGCGTCAAGAAAAGATATTAAATGGGTGGCTTGCAGAATTCTTCACCACGTATCATGTCATGATGCCGATAAGCTGCCAAGTCCGTCCCCTTCCCTCTCTATATTTCCTCACATCAAGTTTGGTTGGTTGAAGCTTCTATTCTTTAATTTGGACTTTTCATTGTCTCATTGGGCTCATTTGCTTGTCCGCATCCAACTCTCTTTTGGCTTAAGAAAATCGAGACTTATTTCACATGTGTTAGTGTTATAGAGATGAAGTGGGGCAGAATTTACTATTGGGACGTCGACATGTCAGTTATCTTAAACTAATTACGCGCTATTGTATGGAAAAGTTAAAACACATGACATTGTTTGATAAGTTATGGATAACAACTAGTTTGGCAGCTCAACCATGAAAAATTCATGTGTTTAACGTTTTACAATTATACTATGTAGATTTTCGATAAACTGGTAAATGGGTACCAAGTGATGAAATGATGTGATGTAGAGCAAATGGCCGAGTGGATTGAAGAGGAAATGGATCGACGGAAGACAAAGGGCTCGGCAGGACTCTGCAGATTTGGCGTCTGAGCTCCAATTTGAGTCCATAATACGTTTTGGAAAGGGAATGACATCGCAATCGTTTAGGCTTCCAAAACAACATTTGAAATTCTATAATAAAATATCGGACCTTTCGATTTACGTCCATATTATGTCGTTTTAATTTTCTAAGGCCTCTGAGTTTCTCTGGGACTGAAATAGTGTCTTTAAAAGTTGTTTAGCCGTTTATGTAATTTCATCAATTTAATCTTTAATCAAATACAACCTTTGAAATTTCTCTAAAAAAAATGTTTGGATTTCAGATTTTGTAAGTTTTAATTTTTAATTTTGGATGCATCATGAGGAGTGTGGTAGGATTTTTACCACCTGCAAAAGTAGGAATAAAAACACTTAAAAATACTTGCAAGAGTACAAGGTTATCGTAGTATAGCAGCTCAAGCAAAGTCGTTTCCACAGGGATTGATTGAATCATTTGTATTTAAATTAATTCTTAATTACTATTTAAAACAAAGTTTCGAAAATGTTGATTTTATGACCTAAAATATTAAAAACTAATTTTAAATTAAAACAATTAAAGAAAGGGAACGATCTTAGAAAAATAATGATAAAATGACACTAGTGTTCCACCATCACCTTAACAATCTTATGTTGTTTTACTAATTACTTATGAATTACACATGCAACTCTAAAGGTTAGGTTTCCCGTATGCATATTCTACTTATGGCATTCAAGCTAGAACGTATATCAAACATGTCATCCGTCTGTGGCATTTAGATCAAATATAAACATGCATGACTCATTACGCTTTGTGAAAACCCTTTGATAAACCATGCAACCCTTAAGACGTGACATTTGCCCTAGATGAACTTACAACTATCAATCACAAGAAGCAATGCTCAATCCTCCGGTGGCATTTTGACCGAATTGCATCCGATTACTTATCTAAACATCATAATGGTAGCTAAGCATTAAGATATAAAGACAGTTTAAACACCATGATTAATAATTCAAAGTATGCATGCATAATATCACAAACAACTAAATAAAAACTACATATTCATGCTAAGGCTCAAGGCATCGCCCTAGCAAACGAAAATTAGTTACGAACAACCATAAAACAAAAGGAATTTTATTGAAATAGAAAAGGGATATTTTGGATGCGGTCCCTAATCCTTAACATTCTTTGATTAAAACCTTAATAGTATTCAAAGTTTGATCAAGGTCCATTGACTTTGTACACTTCATTATATTACTATTAATATTTATATTTTTATAGTTTTGACATTAATTGTTTGATATTTTATGAGATTTATAATCCTATAAATTTAAAATCCCTCATTATAATACTATTAGAAACGGTTACAATAAAAAATTCAAATATTTTGATTGAATAATGGATAAAAACTATATAAAATAATAAATAATAAATGGCAAAAGAATGTTATCCATAGTGTTAAAAAATTGGTACATTTCACATATAACAAAGTGGTACATTAATAAAGATAATGGGTACATTAGAAATAAATTAGAGTACAGATAAAAGATTAAAAATTATGAATACAAATGAATTTTAAAAAATAGCGCTAAAAGAAATTAATACATGGGTACAAAATAAAACTAAAAAGAAAATACTACAATTTAAAAAAAAAATGTTGCAAATTAAAAGTGGGTACAAACTAAAATATATATGATACAAAGTTTAGGCATAAAACAAAAATATACCATATGTAATTTTTCTATCATTGATTAAATTACAATTCACGTGACGGTATAACATGGGTACAAACACAAATAAAACTTTAAAAAATATGGGGACAAAAAAAACTAATATATGGGTACAAATTAAAAATGAAAAGAAAATTGGTACAAATTAAAAAATATTTGCAAATTAAAAATAGTACAAAACTAAAATAAAAATATATGATAAAAAAATTTAGCCATAAATATAAATATACTAATTGTAACATTTTTAACATTAAAGGAATATATTTAAAAATAAAAATATTTTATTATTCAAATAATTAATGATGTTATTAATACCCAAGGACCTTGATCAAAAATTGAAAATAAATAGGATTTTAATCAATGGAGTAACAAAAAGAAGGATGTGAACCTAATTTTCCCAATAGAAAAAGGATATAAAACACCTTGAAGTACAAATCGTCAAAACCTAGCTAAGTTCTTCAAATTGATGCCTCTTTACTCTAATGGCTAAATAGCCTTATTTATACTACTACAAAATCAAATCCTACCTAAAAAAAGTCTTCTAAAAACTAGGAAATAAAAGGTTTCCTATTTGAACTGAAATTCAGACTTCTTAGTAAATCATACTTTTGACCCATCAAATCAACTCCGATTTGGTCCCAAAAGTTTCTTTTTAAAGCTTGAGATGTCCCTAACAAATCCTCAGAAGGAATATTGCTCAAAATATGTCATCTTGACCTTCAAAATACCCAAAACGTCCAAACACGTCAATATATGAAAGCTCCGCGCTGGGCCTTCTTTTCTTCACCATGGTTAAACGGCTTGGTAGAAAAATCTAAAATTTTGATACAATCATCTTAAAAGACTCACAAACATCCTCCAATTATAATCACTCCAAAATTCATCCATTTGATTACTTTTTGCTTCAAAGGTAGTTGAATGTCTTACATTGAAAATATATAACAAAGTATCAAAATTCTATTAAAATAACCAATAAACTATAACTAAGAATAAGGTAAAATATCTAGTATATTATGGACTCATCAATGAGTTTAAAAATTGATATTTTTTTTTACCATGCGGAATCAAGTTATTACTACACGCTTTTAAACCTAAGTCATTATTTGTTGGGGTGGTTCGGTATGGGATACCATACCGAAACTAGTATCCCGAATCCCAAACTAAAATTTTTTGGGACAAGAATTTTGAAGACCAATCCCAAACCAAATTTTGGGAATCCCGAAATATTTTCGAGATTTTGGGATAAATCGGGAATCCCAAATTGAAATATGAAATTATAAATTTTCGTTCAAATATATAATTCAAGAACACATTCATGAACTAGGAATGCCATTTCATTCACACTACCATTTAATCGAACACTGGCATGCCTGACTGTTTTTATCATAGTCAAAATTCAAATTAATTAAACCCTTTTTGCAATCTGTTGAGAAACAAAATCAAGCCTTCCGAAATCATCAGCCATGGTAACAGCAATAATAAAATCCAAATGAATATCAAACATAACATGAAAAATATGCAAGGTGCATGGCATTCCAGGTTGCAGAGCATGAATTAGAAACTACTAGCATCAATTCTAAAAGAATAATATTATATATATATATAATAATTAATATTATATATTTTGGGTTCGGTATGAGATTCCCGAAATATCGAGAAGCTAATCCCGAATCCCGTACAGAAATTTCGAGAATTTCTGTTTGGGAAATTTTTGGTTTGGGATCGGAATTTTTTCGGTATGGTTCGGGATTTTTTTCCACCCCTAATTACTTGTAAGTTACCCAACGGTGACAAAACCTTGAATACAGACCTAGACCTAGTGATGATAGCTACAAAAATTCCTGACAAAGTTAACTTACAATGCCCTTTTTGTTGTTTTCGTGCCACTTGTTACTGCAGCAGCAGTGAGCACAGTAATATGAGCTGAGCTGGGATCCAATCACTTTATTCTTTCAATTCCTACACACATGCTTCACATTTCCCCCCAATTTTCTCCATCCGAACACTAGATTTGAACTCAAGATTTTCTTCCGTTAAACAAGGATCGATTGTAGCTAGACTAAATAATTGTTTGAATTGGCTTTATTATTCAAACAGTGAAACATATCAAGTCCTTGTATAAAAAAGGGCGTAGGTTTTCGGCTTTGCGAGAGTCGGAGCAAGAACATCAATCATACGTAGTCCTGCCCTTATCTCTTATTTTGCAAAGAGAATATTTATACGACTCAAACCCGTAACCTGTTGATAAAAAAAAAAACAAAAAACATTTTCGATACGCCAAGATTTGCCCTCATATTAAGTCCTTGTATATTCATGACTAGAATTCTAAAACAAAGTTTTTGGGTTCTTTAAACAATTACATAATACATCATATACGACCGTTGGCAAGTGCATGTAGGCGAAAACCTAAGCTAACGTTCCACTTTCCTCGCAGCCATATTGGCACAAGCAACATGCATACCCTTTCCAAAATACTATATTCTTTGCCATAAACAAATAAATATTTGCGCTTGGTATGCTCAATCGGGATTTTTCCAGAGACGGAATAGTTACAGGATGTGACTAGTCAGTCAACCGGTACAATATCCGGTTGAGCAGCCGCTCACATCTTGCAACTATCCTGCAAAATCAACCTCCAAGGTTCCTTCGAATCCAGGCAGCGTTTAGGTCACTAATCTGAAACCCTTTCTTCAAAATCTTGACGGGGTTTGAAGGCTCGGATGTGAACGAGGCCATAGACACAATCTGTGCACCAGGGTTTTGGCTCCCGAGCCCGGCCAATGCCACAGCTGGTTCCTCCGAGTCGTAGTTGTACAGAAAATGTACCAAACCCTTGGGGAACACAAAAGACTCACCGGGCCTCAATTGCTGGGTAAAGACCCGGTTTGATGTGTCCACAAAGCCCACAAGAAGGAAGCCCGTGAGGCAGATTGTGACCTCCGAGGCCCTTGGATGCAAGTGAGGTGGCACAATCCCATTGGCATCTATGTCAATTCGGGCCATGGTCAGGCCCAATGTGTTGAGCCCGGGCAGATTGAACGGGTTGGTGAGGGTCACGTTGAACCCGTTGGCTTTAGTGTCGCCTGGTTTGGATAGGACTGATGTGGTGAAGTGGGAAGAGATTGCTAGGTTTGGGTCAATGCATGGCGCACCATTGAGGGAAAATGTCTGAGGGGTTTCCGGGTCCGCTACGCAGTAGTCCTGGAGCGGATCCGGGTCGGATTTGGCCCGGCCGAATAGAGCTAGGTTGAGGAATAATTGGAGAAATAGATAATTGATTGTGTTCATGTTTTTGCCTTTGCTAAAACCTACAAAATTTGGACATTTATATATAGGAAATGTTGGATTGTGATGTTAAGTAAAAATTGGTGGTTTATTGGGTGGGGTGATTGAGTAGCTTAGGGGGTATTGCCTATTGGAGGAGGAAAATACAAGGCAAGTAAAAGGCCCACAAAGGTTAATGATGCAGATTGTTACGATTTTGCTATACATAGACTCTTTGGGCTTGGGCCCATATGTTCACTTCTTGTCCGTAAAACGACACCGTTTATCTTGTTACTTAGGTGGCATTTTTACTTATCGAGATATGATTCATAATTTCTAATACGTTCACTAATTAATCAACAATAATCGGGGTCACACTTGAAAATCAATGATCTGAAACTTAATTGATTAGATAGCATAAGAATTAGGTAGGGTAAATTATCGCATATTTGAACAACAAAATATCGATTTGATTCGTAACTTGCTCAATTCTATATAAGTAAAACGAACTTTTCACCTATTTTAATCCTTACCCAATACATTTTCTTGTATGACCACTTTGGATCCAACTAAAATGGCAACGTTTCTCTTAAGTTTGGTGCAATGTACTTTGTATTGTTTGATGGAAGCAACTAAATGAGATGGGGGGACCACATACAGCCTAAGTAGATGGACACGTATTAAATTCAAGGTGTTGGGTGCTTAGAAACTTTAGAAGCTTGGACCTGTCACATGCAACTTTAACTATCATGTTTTCCACTCTAGTTCTCGCTCTCTCTCTCAAGTGGTTCAGTTTGAACACTGCTGGAACCTCTTGGATGTTTCTTCGGATAAATTTTTAGTTGTAACGGAAACACAAGTGGTACATGACGTGTTTTATGTTTTAATAGGAATGGTGGAAATTTTTATTTTTTAAGTTATTAACATTTTAGCACACATATCCCATCATTTGTATAATGACACGTGATGTACCATCCCGTGTACTGGTCACACTGAAAAATCTCTCGTCACTTTGAAGTACCCAATGAGAAATCCACATGTACCAATAATATTAATACTTAGATGTGTGCATAGTCGCATTGCAACTGAGTTTGAATTTCATTTCTGATATTTTTAGATTGTTTTAAAATAAATTATTTGTATCACCCAATCTAATAGTATTCTTCACCACTTATAACGTCTCAAATTTGATTTTTATAAATTATAATTTCAGCGTATGATAAAAAAATAAAGAAACTTTGTTCCTACCAAAAATAATATCTAAAGCTTAGTTAGTTAAGATGGGTAGTCAAGAGTCATATCTTTGTTTATTCAATACGTATACGCCCACTCTGATTTGTTGAAGCTTCATACTTACCCAACTAATCTCTATTTTCCCACTAATTAATCCTCCCATTTACACATTAATCCATCATGCACTTGAGTAAAAGAAAGTCCCCAAACTGTGCAACTTTTTCTGAATCCAGAGAGTAATTGCAAAATTTGCAAGTAAAAGCCAAATCTTCTTGGGGAAATAATATTTGGTGTTTGGTGGGTCATCATCTGCAACTGCAAGTTCAAACCTAAGCCTTTATCTCCACCTTTTTAATTTCTCGTCATACAATTGGAGTTGTCTTGTGATTGATTACCTTTATCATCTTAGGATTTCCCAGAAGTGCCACAAACAGGAAGAAAAAGGTGAAGCCATGATATGCTAATTTAGAAAGAAAAAAGACCAAATGGATGTGTTTTTCTTTTTCTTTTAATTTAATTTTAATTTTAATTTTTTATTCTTTTCTTTTTGTCCATATTCTGGGTTTTTTCTCACTCTTGGTAATTTTTTAGTGTTTGTGTGATCCAGTTGATTGGTGATGTGCCCCCATGCTTGCTGGTAGCCAAAGCTCTTGCTCTGTAGCCCTCTGGTAGCTTCCAAACACTTCCAATTCTTTTAGAACTCATGGGTGAATCAATAGTCGATTTTGCCAGGGATGCTGAAAAGGTACACACTTTTTACCTTGGATTTGTCGAAAAACATAACCCTTGTGTTCGATTTTGTCTGCAATTGTTGTCGTTTGGGGATTGTGCTTTGTGGGTTTTGATTGATTCACTGTATAATTGCTAGATTTGCACGTTTTTGCTACTGTATTGTTGTTTCAGAACATGTTTTGGATTTTGGGTTTTGTGTTAAATGAACAGGTGGTGGAGAGGGAGACATTAGCTTCAAATTCTTCAAACCCTCATCTGGAAGTGTCGGTTTCTTTCGGAAGATTTGAGAATGATTCTTCACTGTCCTGGGAGAAATGGTCGACATTTTCGCAGAATAAGTACTTGGAGGAAGTTGAGAAATGTGCCACTCCTGGCTCGGTGGCCCAGAAAAGGGCTTACTTTGAAGCCCATTACAAGAGGATTGCTGCTCGAAAAGCCGAGGAGTTGATGGAGCAAGAGAAGCAAATGCAAGGTGGTGATACCTTTAGGTCGGAATCTGATCAGAAGAGCGGAGATCAGATGGATTCCGAGGCTCATTTCGAAATTGATTTGGCTAACAGTCAAAGTAATGCCCAAGGAAATGATCGAGAAGCGAATTTCGACAGCGAGATTAGTGAAACTCATGTGGATGATCTCAAGGAGGATGATGTTTTTGCCATAGTGTGTCAAAACTCATTAGCTGTGGGAGAAAAAGAAGAAACAGATGGAAGAACGGATAATCCCGAATTGGACAATCCGGAGGAGGAACTTGTTTTGGTGAAAGAAGTAGAAAATGTCCCTGCTGAATCTCAAGGAGTACAGGAGATTCCAAAGACTTTGGACAATGATGTAGGAAGTGCTCCAGAAGTCAAAGAGGTGAAAGAGGAAAAACCCAGATTGGATCTTCGGAAGGTACCTCAGAAGGTGATGTACTTAACTGTTGAATCTATTAAGGAAAACTTATTTGCAGATACCATGGTCAATATGTCAGTCTCAGAAATTGTTTGCTTGACGTCTGATTTCGTATATCTTTTGCATTTTTCTGTTGAATAGGTTACTCCAATGAGCAAGGAGAGAAATGTGGCAAGTGTTAAGAAGAAGGCAGTTCCGCCAATAGCAAAAACACCAGAGAAATCCGCCCCTAGGGTGTCAAAGTCTATATCAACTCCCACCCCTAAAGCATCGAAGTCTACATCAACTCCCACCCCTAGAGCATCGAAGCCGCTATCAACTTCCACCCCTAGAGCATCGAAGCCGTTATCAACTTCCACCCCTAGAGTATCGAAGTCTATATCAACTTCCACACCTAGAGTGGCTAAGTCTATATCAACTTCCACCCCGAGAGTGGCTAAGTTTCTATCAACTTCTACTGCAACATCTTCATCGTGGTCCTCGGTAAAGAAGGGCAATGCTTCATCTCTCCCTAGGAGCAAAAATCCTTCAACTGAGGAAACCAAGAAAGCTCCTTCCAAGTCTTTGCACATGTCACTCAATTTGGAATCCAGTCCCACAATGTCAACTTCTGTGACCACTACAACCAGAAAGTCTTTCATTATGGAGAATATGGGAGATAAGGATATCGTCAAACGAGCATTTAAGTCGTTTCAAAACAATTACAACCAACCGAAACCCTCCATTGAAGAGAAACCTCCAACACCAAAGCAGGTTTGTCAATTTAGTACATATTCTCGTTTGGAGAGATGGCCGGTTACGTCAGTTTTATTTATTATGAGGGTTGGCATCAGAGCATCTAATGTCAAATTTTATTTCTGGAAAATTTGTTATGAAAAAGCAGCTCTCTACGAAGGGGAAAGAATCAAGGGTTTCCTCCTCTGTACCCCTGACAAAGGAGAATGGAGGGTAAAGCCTTAAACTCATATTTGACTGCTGATTATGTATCCTGTGTGCATGAGATTCTTGCATAATATCAGTCTCTGCATGATAATATACTATCATGTTTCACGTTGTCGATTCAAACTTCTTTAGGTGTCTCTGTTAATTTATATTGCATTAATTTTCTTTTCGTCATAGGTATCTAGAAAAAAGAACTGCTAAGGCCGCTCCATCATCTGTTAGCTTGAGAAGTGATGAAAGCACAGATAAAAGAGAGGTATCCATTAACAAACCCCCAAACTCTTTTTGTTTTAATTTATTAGCCGTACATATGTAATCTCATTAAGCAATATATTTCAGTTTTCACAGAAATTGGCGGCAAAACCCAATGTGAAAGTGACAGAGAGAGCAAACTCCCAACCAAAGTCAAAGGTATCATCTTACAAACAATTATTCTAAGGAGAATAATATTCTACCTGTCTAATTCAAGTTTTGTATGAATGTTCATATGCTAATAGCCTATGACTGTTGCTATACAATTCATAGAAAATATAACTATGTTATATAGCCTGCAAAATTTGAATTATTTCTTGGAACTCTATGCTTGACATAGGATCAAAAGGAGGCAGAGATAAAAAAGCTCAGACAGAGTCTTAATTTTAAGGCTACTCCCACACCAGGCGTTTATCGGGGGCCAAAACTGTCAAAAAGTACTTCAGAAAAGGTATAGTCTAATTCTGTCTGTATCTGGCATAAGATCTGTTCACTCCATTTCAATAGAACCAGACTATACGATCCATCTTAGCGATACTTATAAATCCTTCTTTCATGAAGTGCCTCCTTATTATGTCACTGAATACGCTTGAAAGTCGAGTATAGGGCATGTTTTGGAGATAACTTTTTTCTATATTGTGAAGTTTGTAGCCTCCCGTGTGCTGTGTACTTCAGAACAAGTATAAAAGCTAATTATGCATATGCGAAGAATATGACGAGTTAAACACATTCAAAACACATATGCAAGAAGGAATGATGCATGTGTATGCCTTAACACTAGCATTTCAATCTGTACAATGTCCTACTGCACTGCATTTCTGAAATTATCGGTGTGATTAGTATTTTTTAATATATTTTTCTTTCCGTATTCTAATGCCAACTCTGACAACTTATGTAGGAGAGTTCCAACAATGAAACCCATCGGTGAAAAAATCTCAGGCGGCTGCAAGGTCACTCGTCGTCCTCCAAGAACCATATCTACTTCAGGGGATCGACAAGGAAGGAGAATATACGTGAAGGAATTGCTTCTTATGGAAGATCCATGCTTAATATTATCGCTTAGATGATGAGAAAGTGAACATGTTGAGTCACAACCTGTATATTTTGATGGCTGGAACAGATCTACTGCATGGTAATAATCTGCAGATGATAAGAAACAGGTCGGGTTTATGCTTTTCATTCCCTGCTCGTCCCAAATAGTATTCGGAGTTAGAAATGCTACGTACGCATTGTTGTATTCGAAGGTATAACTGTGGAACTGTTATAATTACATGGTAATCCAAAGTTGGTTGCATAAATCTGGACATCTTAAATGGTTATACCGTAATTGCAGACGAAAGAACAACTGAAAGAACAACTGAAAGAACAAGTATTTGTGAATGGAACACGTAGTCGTTAGTAGGAAAGATGAAGACGAAGCCACGGTTTGGAATAAACCCTTGAAACTTTGAAAAAACACTCCAGCTATTTTCAGATTGTAATCGAGTTTGTAATCTATATACATTGTAGAAAGCCAACTCAAAAATCATTATCTGAATCACTGTTAGTGCTCGTAGAGTTTTCCGACATGAAATTCTTAGGCAATACTGGGAATCTTACGGGGTTCCTGGGCGGCGAGTCTGCTGACGATGACCCTAAACTCGCTGTAACCTTCTTCTTCCTCCGCTGTACATTTCGAGAAATTTCAACGCACGCTCGATCAACCATGCCTAGAAAATCTTTAACAATGACAAATAGTTGAAATGGGTGAGCCCCTTTATCCTTAGAAGCCCCTGCTTGATAGTATTCTATTGTTTTCTTCACCAACTCCATCACCCTTTTCTGCTCTTCTCCCACCACCTTAAGCTCTTCCTCTGCTGCTTCAAGAAAACCACTCATGTCCCTAACGAATCCTCCACCGCCGTTGTTCTCACATTGGAGCAGGAGTTCTCTGGTTTCCGCCACGCGGGCTGTGAGAGCCGAGCACATCTTTGCAAAGCTGTCATGATCTATGCTAGCCGCCTTCTTCACACTAGAGAACTCGGCACTGATGCCTCCAACCACGGGCAATCCTAGCGTCATGTATTCCTTCTCTCTTTCCTCTTTCGGTTTTATATTATCAACACTCGAGTTTCTGTTATGGCTCTGGCTGTTGCTGCGACTCAAGATATGATCCGTGTTGATGACACACCGTTTCCCCTCAGACCGCACCACTTCTTCCACAACGAAATGCAGCAGCGTTGTTTTCCCATCACTGCTTCTAACGTCGGATAGTTTTCGAAGAGAACTGAGGTTGAATGCTTGTGCATTTCCTCTCGAAGTTCCTGCATTCATGCGGTTTCCAGCCTTGAGAATCGCCTCTAGCAACTTCATGAACAGCCCTCGAGTTCGAAGTTCCTTGCACCCGAGTTCAATCGTTTGTATAGACTCCTTGAGGCTCGCAATCTCTGCGTCGTAGTTGTATCTGAAAAGCATGGCATTGAATCGAGTAAACGCCGAGGGAACAGCTTTGAGAATGTGATAGAGGAAACACTCAGCATCAGCAAGCCTTGTAGGATCTCCGCTGTACTCGAGGATTTGGGATTGTTCTTCTTCCGTTGGAGCAATTGTTACAAGTTTTTCAAGAGTCTCTGCATTTAGCCCCCTGCCTTCCATGAGCACATCAAGGATTTCCTTTCGAGATATCGTCAGCGATTTTATAACAATTGCAATGTTCTGGGATCTCCGGTTATCCAGGATACAAATCTGCGGTAATGGACCGACGTTGGTGCCACTGGGACTCGCTTGGCTGCTGTCTTTTCCGGGGGATAGCCGGTTGGTGGCAACAGTGCCGAAAAGCGCTTCCATTAGATCACCATCAAATCTGAGAGTAGCAAACTTGTTAAGTTTTCAGAAACTTCAAAACCAAATACAATGGAAAACAATACACGGTTAAACCCGAAATAAAGAGTGGTGTGATGGTGTGCGGAAATCACTTTCGTTACCTAAATGAACCATCAATTTTGTCCCACACCATGGAATGCTGAGTATTATGTGTGCTCACTTTGTCCCAATGCAGTGGCTTCAGTTTCACTATAACATTTCCTGCTCCTGCTGAAGACTCCCCTGATTCAACTTTCTGCCCCGGAGACGGTTTTGACAGCGCGGTCAAACTCCGCGCTTTGGGTGGAGGAGGCGGTGGTGCAGGACCATTCTTAGCTGAAACTTTCGGTGGTGGAGGAGGAGGAGGCGCTGAGGAGCCTTTATTGTTTCGAATTGGCAGAGGAGGTGGCGGCGGAGGCGGCGGTGTTGGTGGTGGAGAAGGGGGAGGCGGAGGACTTGATGATCCAACAGTTAGCTCTACTTCTGGTTCCTCCGATTTTTCAACAGCTTGAAGAGCCGTTGATCCATTTCGATTTCGATCATTCACTACTTCTGGCACATCATTGATGTAGGAAGCTGAAGACTTTCCTCTGAGGAGAGGAACATCCTGTGTACGCTCATGCCTTCTTCTTCTGCTACTCCCTTCGTCTTCTTCACCATCTTTTCGAAACACCTCCTTTCGAAAACTCTTCTTCGAGTTCTTTGCTTGGAGTTTCTTCCAGTAAAGCACATCGAGACCGTCCTCATCAACAACGAACCCCTTGAGATTCCCATCATATCTGCCAAACTCACTCTGATCCACCACAGGAGGCCGCGGCTGAGGCCGGCCACCTTGCGAACCTCCACTACCACCACCACAGCCACCACCATAACCTCCGCCTTTAATTCTCTTGCGCCGGGCAACAAGGTACCTCTGCACAAAAAAGAAAACCAACCCAGAAATCACCAGAGTGGAGGCTGCGGTGGCTGCCACAGCCTTGGCAACCTCACTCTTTGACGAAGATTTTCTTGGCGGCAAAGGAACCGGCAGCGGCCGTGATACCGGTTGCGCCGGAGAGTCTTCGGGAGGCAATGAAGGTGGGATTTCGGGTGGCGGAGCTGTAAACGGATAGAAAGTTTCAATATTTTGAGGGGATTGGCCATGACAAAAAGGAATAATAATAATTAAAAAACCATGAGTGAAAAAACAAGAGAGAAGCCATGGCCGAATCCTGGCAGCCATGAAGCTTTTTGGGAAGATTGGAGAGATGGGTTTTTGGAAACTGAATCGGTTGAAGTTTCTGTAGATTTGTTTGCATCGAAAGGAGAAAAATCTACAAGTGTAATGGATGGATTTGTCGTGGTGCATTTGGTGGGTGTTGGTTGACGAAAAGCTGAAAGCTTCAAAGATAGTAGTTGTTTGTTTTTCCAAAATTTCTTCCCGGGCTTTTTTGTATATAATTCAACCACTCAAAAACCCTTTTTTGTTTTTATTTTATTTTTTAATTGAAACTCAAAAGAGGCTTCTAACTAACTACAAATCCACGCTTTAGTAATTCAAGATTAGGGTTTTAAATCATAAAATTAACTAAACAAATGAGAAAAGTGGAGGTTAGGTTTGCCATTTCAAACCAGAAATTGTGGACAGCTTGTTGAAGTGCCAAATCACCCAATTTTGTTTCCATTATGGTGTGGTTTTATAATTATGTTCAATAGATCTTGGTAAACTTGAGTGAAAAATGAATTCATTTTTTCAATTACGGTTTTTCTCTTCAATTCACTGCGTTTTATGTTTAAACACTCTCTCTTCCTTTTATATAAATTAGTGTAGAACATTTTTATTATAAAAAAAACTTAAACTATGAGAAGAAAGTTCAAACTTGGTTTGCAAAGAAAGTAGCATCAATAATAGATACATCCAAAACATTTAGACGTAGTACTTGTTTGAAGGTCTTTCGTGGACACTTCAAATGTTTGGTACAGATCCCTTTTATACTTACTAAGTGTTTGACGTAGTACTTGCTAGGGATATCTCAACATGTTGTGTCAACAACACTAGACAAAATATCTCGATATCACTCATCAAATTGTTTTGGCATATGTCGACATTTGCTGACACGTGCACAACATGATTTGGCTGATGACAACAAGCCTACCAAGTGTCTAATGAAATGCCTCAATGAATAAACTGATTTTTTTTTTTTGCGCGCTTCCGCTCTGTTTCTATCTAAAAACCTTGGACTTTTAACACTGAGACCTCCGAAGTTCAAATCCTGGATCCACCACTGTATCTAGAGCATAAAGCCAACATGTTTGGTGAAACTCCAAGTCTCGTTCCTAACCTTTTATATGATATTTTAATGAAATATAATGGAGGTTACTTAACCTGCCCGACCTAGTAATTAACGATTAGTTAAATCAACGAACAAAGTCAGTGAGAAAGGAACTTTCCCGATCCCTTTCTTCCTTCCCCAATGATTTGTTCAGTTCGAAAGGCATTTGAGTTTTGAAGCGTTGAAGAAGAAAACTATGTTAAACCAAACGACGACGAAATAATTTGGTCAACGAGTTCGGTTTCATATTTGAAATTAAGAAATCGAATTTGTAGGTTTGACTAGACGATGAAGAAATTAGAGAAATAGTTGCTCACCAAATTCATTTCACCGACGACATTGGATTATTTTAGGCTTTTTATATTAGCATCCCACAAAATGTTGAATGTACCCCATATTAAAATTTAATATTAATGACTTATTTACTCTACTATGCAATAACAATTTTGACCTTATTAGGTTTAAAAATAATAATAAAATAATTTTTAACACATTATTTATCTACTTCAACTCTCAAAACTCCTCACACCCTCCATTGTTGAATAAAACCCTAAGTAATGAAACTACAAACATGTGGATTAAGCAATGAAACTACAAACATGTTGATTAAGCAATGAAACTACAAACATGTTGATTAAGAAAAATTATTTTTAACGAATAGAACACGAAATCGGTGTTTCGAAAGCTTTAAAATCATTATTATTGATATTGAAAAAACATTCAAATGAACCTAAACATTTTTTTCTTCAAATCATTCAATTTGAAATGATTCGGCAAAATAAAAAATGACTGTTATAAGATTTGAGAAATGTGGGGTGTGTATATTAAGAATGTGGGGTGTGAGGGTATTATGGGGAAGGAAGTGGGGTGTATTAAGATAATTTTTAATTGAAAAAATAAATGTAAGGTGTATTAAGTATGTAGGGTTTATTCAACAATTTGTGGAGTGCTAATATAATAAGCCTTATTTTGTTTTGTTTTGTTTTGTTTTAGAGGTCGTTGTCGTAAGTGAGTGTCCATGGTGGTTGTAAAATAACCCACAATTTGATTACCTATTTCTCCCCAACCCCTCAAAAAACAAGTGGCAGATTTTGATGGGGTCTCGCTTTGATTCGGGAGGGATTCATAGATCTGGATAAAGTATC